ATAAAAATTCGTGCCTTGCGTTTCAATAGTGAATATCATGTGATTTGTGTTTAAATTGTGTTTAAATAAACAGTTAATCGTTTAATGAAAAGGACAACGAAATTAATTCATTTGATAACAAGTTTTAATGTGTTTTCACAATAAAATTCCGGTACTATTGGATTGTATGACACAAACTCGTGATATGAAATGATTTAAATATTTGCGATCATATGTTTAGTTAAGCAATAAATTAAGCATTAATTTTAATGTATTTAAATTACAACAAATAATAACAAATGTCAACAATTATGGTAACAATTTGTGGTAATTGAATGTAAAGTATATTTACAAAATACAATTACAATTTTATTGTCCGGCCAAAATAACATATGACATATTATTTACATTTTTAAAACGATAACAAAACAATTGAAATGCCCCCGATGTTGTTGGGCGTTGCTATTATAACGGGTTTAATCACTTAATAACTGATTTAATGATTAAATAGTTGTTACATTTTATGGTCATTTACACCAAATTTTAATTATAATCATTTGTATCACAAAATTTCTTTGTCATATAAAATGTTGGCGAAGAGGAGACACAGAATGCAACGCAACAATAGAGGGACACATCTGTTAAATGGTATCGACGCCGAAGAATCAGATATCATCGCCGGCTATGAGATGGACTCATACGAGACAATCAATTACGAAGACATCGATGAAAATGGAGACAAACGGGATTCGCGACAATACGAAAATTTCAATGTTAAAGCCGATGATAACAAACCACGTTATATGGCTTTGTTTTAGCTCAAAGCCACACCAATTACCTTCATATGTAATATATTTCTTAAATAGGTGATCAAAATTAAGATCATGGACAAATTTCGCAATCATTGAACATAACATAACATTTCTCATAACATAAGTTCTATTTATTGCAAATAAAACTTATTATATTTCCATTCAAAACAAGTGATAGTATATAACACACGACATCGTCTTATAATTGTATGATTTGTATCTCCAAAACAAGTTATGTGTAATTTATAAATACTAAAAGTTTAATAAATACTGGATTTACTCTTTTTATGCGATGATTATAAAGTAAAGTATTTTATCTGATGAGAGGTTTTAAGTGAAAATTTGTATAATATTAAGTTTTCAACAGAAAGTTATTTCAATTATATTTTTACTCAACGCAACAAATATTTAAAACCTGAACAAAAAAGTCAGTAATAATTTTTAATATAACATTAATATGAAAAGAGATTTGAAACCTGCTATTTGATGGATAAGTAGCCCAAAAGTATTGTCTGGTTTGACTGGACTTCTCTCTCAATCTCGCAAAACCGCAAAAGCAGTTTTCAAAAGCAAAATGTGTGTCTCAAAGGCACGGGTAATGAAACAGCTTTTTTCCCCATTCATCCACTCAACACACATATCGTAGAAAAAAATTATGAAAAATGAAAAAATAATTTCTCAAAAAATACTGAGAAATGCATCGCAACTGAACAACGAGTGGCTCACAAACTAAGTCATTGGGTTATTCAGGAAATAAATGTCTCAAATGGTGTATATTATGTATACGAGTATAAGGAGAGTGTACTAAGGATTTGCTATGAGCTCCAGGTCCTCCTCTGCCAGAACACCACTACTATAATCTCAACCATAGATTAATATTGAGTGACTTTTATTGTGTATGTGTTGTGTCGGCCGCCACTCGGAAGTGATCACTGATTTCTGCATTTGTTTCCTCTGTTTTTTATGTGTCGATCGAAAATCAATTAAATATCAAGTCTTAAGATATGTTTTGCGTAATTGATAACTGAAAACCGCAACAAAACTTTGTGTGCTTTCAATTCAATTCAATTCAAATCAAATGTTTAATTTACTTTTTGAGTGTTTTTTCATTTGTAAAACCCTTTTTCTTCGCAACGATTTTAAGTTTATTTAAACGCAATCTTTAGAGACATTGATTGAAACAACTCTACTGGAAGAGAGAGAGAGAGAGAGAGAGAGAGAGAGAGAGAGAAATGGTGTGCAATGATTGCGAAATTTGTCCATGATCTTAATTTTGATCACCTATTTAAGATATATATTACATGTGAAGGTAATTGGTGTGGCTTTGAGCTAAAACAAAGCCATATAACTTCAAATCAAATGTTTAATTTACTTTTTGAGTGTTTTGAGAGAAGAGAGAGAGAGAGAGAAGAAAACGTGTTTGGAGTTTACCATTAGAAGCGAAGCAAAGTTCACATAAATATATGATATAATTGTAATTTTTCTCTCCAAAAGATTTTTTCAATTTTTATTATGTAATATAAAAACCAGTTTTTAAATGAAAACACACCGTTATATCGAGAGGAGAGAAAATATAATGCAATTAAGTTTAACGCCAGAGAGCTATAGACGAGTGAAGTGAGAGAGAAATATACTGTAATTGAGGTTTTTGTGCAAACAATTGCGAAATATGCTGTAAATCAGTGCAAAATACAGTATAAACATATCGACCACCAAATTGTCTTAATTATCACCTATTGTTGCAAATGTATTGATCATAATATTAATGTCTATACACGACAAGGAGTGCCTTTTGGTCCGTTTGTTTGGTTACTTTTGCTTCACTGGCTATTAATTATAATACAACTTTTGAAACAACAAAAAACTTATTGCTTTTTTGTGTCAATAGTTTATTTTACTAAATGCACAACATTTACGATAATAAGTGCTGTTTAATTGTACGTAAGATTTACTTTTTCCTCAAAGACTTACTTTGTTCGCTCAAAACGATGGATAATATCGTTATGAATACCGATAACCACAGCGATATCGCAGACAACAACACCGACCACACCATCGGCCACAACGACAAGGAAAACTCGGATCAGTTCGCGATCGACTCGTCGGCCAACTTCTGTGCCATTTGTTTGGATACAATATCGATGACCTGTCGACTGATGGACACGGGTTGTGATCATCGGTATTGTTTCGAGTGTCTGTTCAAGTGGTCTAAAGTGCAGAACTCGTGTCCATTATGTCAACGGGTGTTCACTCGGATCGGCACTCGTATCCAAACGGATCAACAGCTGAACAAATTTGAGTCCATTCTGACCGGCATTAAGCGGACGACTAATTCAAGGCATTACACGCTGAGGAAAGTCCTCCGAAGTCCCAAATGGAGACATTTGGACCGATTCTGGGAACGGGTGGTCAGCACTGGTGTCGTATTCAAGCGTAAGATTGTATTCATTTTGCTCATCGACGCCAACGATGTGCCCAATCGGCAGCTGATCCACAAACGGGTGGACGAAGTCGTGGAACTGATTATGGATAACATAGAGGACGACCAGTTCTCCCGTGTCATCGATCTGTTGCTCAAGAATTCGTCAAACAATATATTTTTGATGACTTTAATTGTTTGCTGTCGTAAACGAAGCAAAGATAAGAAATGAGCGAATTTTCCATCAAATACTCGTTTTTGTGGTTAAGTTTTATTTACTAAATATTAAAAATGCATTTTTCAGTGATTTTAAACAAGTTTAATTTATATTTTGTTTTTATTTAAATAAATTTCTAAATAATTTTGTTTTTAATTATTATTATTTTATAACATTTAGTAAATTCAACAGTGTTTTTGTTACATTAATTTTTGCATTTAAAAATATAGCAATAAATTTCATTTATAATATACTGTAGATATCATAAGAAAATAACAGTAATTGAAACAACAATTAAATGCTTTATTTATCATATTTCTAATAGTTTTTAAAGTGAATAAAGGTTTTAACTAAATGTTAAAATTGGTCTCATTTTATATGACAAAGAAATTTTGTGATACAAATGATTATAATTAAAATTTGGTGTAAATGACCATAAAATGTAACAACTATTTAATCATTAAATCAGTTATTAAGTGATTAAACCCGTTATAATAACAACGCCCAACAACATCGGGGGCATTTCAATTGTTTTGTTAACGTTTTTTAAAATGTAAATAATATGTCTTATGTTTTTTTACCGGACAATAAAATGTAATTGTATTTTGTAAATATACTTTACATTCAATTACCACCAATTGTTACCATAATTGTTGACATTTGTTATTATTTGTTGTAATTTAAATACATTAAAATTAATGCTTAATTTATTGCTTAACTAAACATATGATCGGAAATATTTAAATCATTTCATATCACGAGTTTGTTGTCATACAAGCCAATAGTACCGGAATTTTATTGTGAAAACACATTAAAACTTGTTATCAAATGAATTAATTTCGTTGTCCTTTTCATTAAACGATTAACTGTTTATTTAAACACAATTTAAACACAAATCACATGATATTCACTATTGAAACGCAAGGCACGAATTTTTATCGTAAAAAGTTTGTTTTTATTTAGAAATTTATTTATATATTTGTTTTATGGATAATATATTTATAGACAATTATCTTTAGACTTATAAAGGGATCACCAAATGGCGATTCTCTCGACAGACACTGCGTTTTTAGTATATTTTCTGCAATATTTTTGGCACTTTTGTTGCTAAATATAAATTTGATACCAATCTCGGTATTTTGTTACACAAAATAATTACATTTAATTATACATTTAAAATGTGAATAATTAGACACAAGTTTAGTTAACTATTAACTGCTTATCAAAAGAGAGTAAAACAACATTTATGAAAGTTTTCGGTAGAAAATTATTTAAGTTTTTTTTCCTAAAATTGCATTTTATAATGAAATTAACATTTTCAGCGGTAATCGAGACCATAAACTAAGCATATATTAAACACAATATAATTAATTAGCCACCAAACAAATAAACACTTATTTCAGCTGTGCTTATGTAAAAATGCACTTAAAAAATAGTGATCACTATCTGTTTTCTAATTACAAAATGTTTACTATTAATATGGCATTTGTTTTGTCAGTTTAGACTACCGGTGCAAAAGTAAATTTCCACAACTTAATGGGGAGATACACAACAAATATATAAACAACAATACGAGAGAGAGAGAGAGAGAGAGAGACCATAAATCAAAACTCAAACGAGAATCGGTCGTTAAAAACACTTAATTTTCCCGTTTTGTACGTAACGTAGAAGAAGGCGCCGATAAATGACACCAAACACACTTTGCCGGCCCGGGAGATGACCCTATCCTGCCATTGCCTGTCTTTCACACACCTCTCATATGGTATACGAGTGAATGTGACCATTGAGTACAGGGGTATCCACGAACGGGGGAACAGCGTATTGAGCCATTGGTCCAGTTTTTTACGGACCAAAAAGCTCCGGGAGTTGACCAGATCGCGCATCTCTATGTAGTTATCCATCGCCAGGTCGATGATTGTGTGGCAATTCTCTATACGACTGTCGCTGAAGAGTGGCACCACTTTGCGGATAGAGTTGTCGTGTTTGGCCAACAGCTCGTCCAGAATGAGACAGTCCTCGAAACCACAGTTCATGCCCTGACCGAAGAAGGGGACCATCGCGTGGGCCGCGTCGCCCATTAGCAACACTTTGTCCAAATAGTTGTATGGATTGCATTTGATTGATATCAGGGGCAGGGGTTGGGCCGCGAAGAATACTTTTACTAATTGCTCCCTAAATATATGAGTGCAGACAATAACAAAATATCAGTTGAGGTTTATTGTCATTTCTGTTATACTGTATAGTGATTTGTTATGTTTAAGTCTCGATTACATTTGGAAATGATACCATATTTTTTGTTACAAATACGGTAATGCATTAAATAAACAAAATGTGGGTATTTTTTCCACTCGTAAAGAGTTTATCAAACTTTTTTGTGGCTAAAAATAACACAAAAAATTTCCAAACAAACCGATCAATTGATTTCCTGTTCAACCAATACAATCAATACAATCAATAATCAATACTTACTCTCCGATCAATGGTATGGAGTCCGAGAAGTTCTGGCGGAAGAAGTTGATCAGATCCTCCCTGTCCTGAATGGACTCGTAGTACGTGAATGGCATGAATAGGGTAACTGTGAAACTATGGTCGAGGTTGGGCAGCGCGATCATCATGAACGAACTCCTGGGCCATATGTGCAGATAATTGACTTCCATGGCGTAATCGCCACTTTCATTGGGAGGTATATTGAGTTCAATGTATCCGTGCTCTATATATTGTTGGCTGTAATTAAAGCGAATCAGTTTAACCATCGCTCGTCTCACCGACGAGAAGGCGCCGTCACAGCCGACGATCAGATCCGCCGACTCGTGCCGTTGCCTCTGTTTATCGTCGTCTAACATGAATGTCATTTTGCCTACAAATTATAGCGTTAAACACTCATTAAATTCTACTTTTACATCTTGATCAAATACTGTTTCTCTTTTAACATTACATCAACTCAAAGCAATATTAAAAATAAAATGCTATATATTTTAAATTTTGATTATAAAATTCAATTGTCATATGAACAATGACAATGATTAATTTAATGTGTATGAAATTATTTGTGCATCTATTTTTGTATTAGTGTATGAGTTGGGAGTATAGCGCGAACGCTGTCTCCCGCTACCAAAAATTACACGTCCCATCTGTTCCGTTTTGGAATAGTGGCGGGATTCATCATGGTCACAGTGTGCAATGGACCCGACTCAGCCCGGGGCCGCCACCTCTTTGATCATGGCTAACCCGACGCCAGGTAAGTATGCTTTACATACACCAACCCATCCCTTCCCTCTCTAGCCCTGTATTTCCTAAATTACAGCTTTTATACCACTTTTATTTCAATTAAACTTCATTTACAATAATTTTACATCAATTAAAAGCTAATTATGGACTAAAATATACTTTTATAAATTATATTTTACGTATAATTGTCTAAAATATGCTTTACTTATTGACTTAATTAAAGAGTTAATTGAATTTAGATATTTAAAGCTAATAAACCCATTATAATGTAATGCAATATGAATGACACCTGTATTAAAATACAGGTAGAGTACAGTAGTGTTTAGTATAAAAGTAGTCAAAATATT